CAACTGGTCAGCTGCTACACATTGAGCTTCGTATCCGTGTGTCGATGGCAGTGGCGGCATTCGGGAAGCTTGAGTACCGAGTATGGAACAACCATCAGCTTACCATTGGCGCGAAGCTGATGGTGTACAAATCCATGGTGCTGTCCTTTCTTCTATACGTCAGTGAAACGTGGACGATGTACCGTCGGGATGTGCGATATCTCGAGCGGTTCCAGCAGCAGTGTCTGCGACGCATTTTGCGCATAATTTGGGGCGACAGAGTTGCTGACACGGAAGTGTTGCGATAAAGTGGGATGTATGCAGTGGACTGCACACTTTTACTGAGCCACCTGAGGTGGCTCGGTCATGTGTGGCATATGGATTCGACGCGGATACCGAAACAGCTGAGTATAGGGAAGCGGCATGTGGGGAAACCAAAGTTACGTTACCAGGACATGATTAAAGTGAGCCTCTCACGTTCTAATCTTGATTGCAGATCATGGGAATCGAAGGCGGTTGATCGGCGTGCATGGCGCGATCTAATCACGAAGGCAGTTGCCGAGGTGCAGGAGAAAGCCCTCATGCATGCAGAGAAGAAGCGGCAATTGCGGAAGCTGCAAGCACCGATGTTTTGTACTCCATCGACATCATGCGCATGGTGCTGTAGCACACGCGGTCGCGAGTGCCTGAGTCAGGCAGGCTTAGTGAGCCATGAGCGGGGTCACTCGGGACCACTACCGAAGCGACGACGGGTCCTGCAGAGGACGTAGGCAGAACCGGCGCAGCGTTTGTAGGTACGCTGCATTCGATTTACTAACCGCGTGCTTGCATGCTAAGTCACTTTATTTCAGTTGGTGGGTTTTCGATTTTGTCCTAGTGCTTTTCTTTCCCATATAAATGCCTACTTATACTCTCTTCTATACACTTGCACACGTCGCTTAAGCGACTTATATTTGTCAAGTCGACATTCCCAGCAGCCAGGTTAAAGTGCACATTTTCTACTGAACCACTTGTTTGTTCACGCAATAAGGATACGCTGCCATTGCTGACCTCATCTATGGTTAGTTATCAGTTCAAGTGCGTTTGTGACGCTACTTATATTGGTCGTACGGCACACTTGTCCAAACGCGTGAAGGAGCACTGCCCGCGCTGGTTGCGTCAAGGAGGAACTGGGGCCATTAGCAGCGCCGTTTTGGCCCAAATTGTCGACACGGAGTACCAAGTCGACCTAAAGCGTGCCTTCAGGATAATTTACAAGGCCCCCCAGCATCAATCAAGAGGTTTGCGCCTCCGTGCACTCGCGACAGCTGAATCGATTTGCATTCGGTTGTTTCAACCTTCATTATGCTCGCAAAAGAAGTTACTCCATGCCTTACAGCTTCCCTGGCCAGCTAGAACGAACGATACTGAGGTCGATTGCCACAGATCATGCTCGATAACATGCAATCGACTTGTCAGATCAATGGTCAACTTTTAGCCTCCCTCGCTGATCTGTTAATTAACTATGTAACTTGACCCAATGAGTCGATTTCAGTTCATTATTTTACCCTTTAATATGATTGTAATGGTCTGAAGAGAACCATCGAAAACAATTATTCACCTATGGTCTCGTGTTCTTTCGACTTATATTTATTTCGATAACATTTTCGTGTTTGTAGCATTTCCGTAAAATAAACTTCCTGACCTCGTGAACTTACCTCGTATTCATTGCTAAAGAACTTATTTCATATCCTCATTAATTTAAGATTTATGCCACCGTTTCCTTATGCATTATTCGAGTTATTTTCTTTGTTATCTTTCACTCAAGTGATTGAATGTTGTTTGATATCCCCCGTGTGGCTGCGCTTGATGTGCATGTTGATAAGGTGCCTACCTGTCTATTACCCACTACCTCGTCCATCTGGCTCCAGGAGACAGTTGATCGTTGCTGGAGGTGACCGGGTGCACGGTCCTTGTGGCCGTGTTAGGATCAAAGAGTGGTCCCGTGCTCTCAGCGTGGAGCGGACTGCGGCCCAGCCACCGCCTTGTGTGCGTTGATTCGCCAAATACAGCGTGCTTGTGTTTGCCTGTGAAGGAGTGTGTATCGGCTCCGTTGATGAAACGTGGCTCCTATCCGCATGCCTCTCGGTCTTATTCCTTCGGGTTTACACTGGATATGGGGTGTGTGGATGGAGCTGTGGGTGGTGCAGCGCAAGCCACCCATCGTCCCTCTGTAAGCGCAGACGTCCTGTACCTGGCCCCAATGACAGGCAAATTCGAAACCGGATGCCGCCAATCATATATATATATATATATATATATATATATATTGGTCAATAAAGTTCAATTGATCCGGTCAGGTGCAATGCATCATGAGACGCGCACATGTACAGAGCTCGGGCGCGTCGGCCGATGAGGTGAAATAGCCATTTTTCGGCCACGGTTGCTGTTCAATGTAAACGGAGATACCTGACGGCCAGTTTAACAATAACCACCTATCATGAAAACTTACTTACGGACTAGAGAAGAACGGTGAACTTATGTTTTTTGCGTTGTTGCAACATCCACCCGATGGTTCGTTTGAGAGATGGTTCTTCCAGTTTATACAGTTTTGTACCCATAAAATACCGGAAAAACTTTGTGTTTTGTCTGTACTCTTGTATCGCAAAACTGCAGTTCTGAACCTCCAGAAGCTAAGAAGGGCTTCATTCACTTGACACTACAGTTCAACGGGTGTCGTACTGCGTTTAGCAAAATACATTCGACTATTTCCGGTCCCAATAAAGCGATGCCAACTACAGGAGAGATTGATGTTTCCCTTCAGTTCCTTTCAAGGGAGATATCGCTTTTGAGTTACTGAATTAAAAACTGTCGCTGACATTGGACTAAACATATCCGGCCGCTAGAGTTCACATCCTTGCCGAAATTGTTCCGCTCATCACACACGCCTCATAGACAGGCTCCCGATTAGTTCCGAATCGTTTGTTCGATGCCAGTTCACTTGTGGTACAAGGTACCTCAGGCGCATGACCAAGTCTTCTTAAGCGGATAATGGACCACTACTTTGCTTCTCTAACATGGCACGATTAACTCTGTCCGCAGCTCAATCCTTGAGTACCTGCGTAGTACTAGTATTAGATCCGAACTGTAGTGGCATTCAAATTCGTCTACACGGTATGGAAGCGCAACCCCAAAATGCTCCAAAGGCGTTTATTAGCTACCTCTGAGGCTGTTACAATCAGACTACTACATCCGGAGTTGGGCAAGCAGAGAGCACTGGTACAAACTGTCCATTTGCCCGGGCTGTATCCAGACTCGGTTTACATCAGACAGTAACCATTGTCACCACATCGACCAACACACCAGTGCTTTGTACGTGGGTGCGTGCTCGCGCGTCTCATGTATCTCACATAAGCGGATCGACTGAACTTTATTCAATCAACCAGTTACATCCCCAGCTTTCGCTGGCTTGTCACATTTGGCTTAATCTCGCAAACGTATTCGCCTGAATTGAATTACCGAGTGCTCTTCGCAGTTATTATCCCTATACTATCTGATTGGGCATACTTAACGAGTTAATCGTATTTATCTGCCGTCATTCGTAAATTACAGAACCCATAATCGTTATTCTCTAGTTTCACTCCACCGAATGGCACCATTGTTCGTGTCTTTCAAATTATCAGTTACGTGATCGAACTGTTGTTTGAATTGTACTTCATTTCTAAGTCTACCAGTTTCACATGTTCACGTGCTTATGTTACCAGATGGTTGATAGGAATGGTGACAATAGTTGTCGCATTGCGACGTTTCAAACAGATTATTGGTCTCATCCATCTGTCACTTCGAAAGTTTTTTTCAGTAGTTTCTGTCTCAGGGCGACCAACTGTCAGTCCACAGGTGCTGAGTCTCCGCTGCAATTTCGTATGTGTGTGCTTAACCTGCATTCATTAGTGAATGGGACCAACCTAGTCCAACTGATTGGCGTCGCTTTCTGATTTTGCGTATATTGTCACACTGAAGTGGAATTCCACCTTCGGATAGCCAAAAGCCTATCAATACTAGGTTTATCACCTCACCGTTGTTCATGCAGGTCACTGACAGGGTTAATGTAATGGCTTAATCACGTGATAACATGATTTTTGCCAGTTTTGTCTCTAAACGTAGTCGTCGAGCCTGCATTTTCCTTAATTACCTGTTATTTAAAGTTTCTGATACTTTCGGGTTGCTCCGACTTAACACAGGACCGTGTCTATATGGCTTGCTCCCCTCCGAGATTGTTGTCTTTTTTGCGTGAGGAGTCGGCCACTTAGGTATGCGAACATCATTCATATTGGCTACGTTTTTACTCCTAATTGTGGGGATAGCAACGCGCAGCCATTGTTTTTCCTAAAAGTGGCGACAAGTCGACCTTTTAGTTCACTGTCGACGAACATCTCTTGATTACAAAGCAGCATTTAGGGTTTACTTGAAATCCACCAAAACCAGACCAAGTCGGGTGATAAACAAGCGATAAGGATAGAATTGGACAATGGTTCCAGCCATTTAGCGCTCAGTCTAGGCAGATATTTCTCTATCTCACGAGGGAATCTACCATTGTTGGACGCCGGCAGTTAGAAATTCAAATTAATTTATGCATCGGTATCCATCCGTCACTCCTATTCACTGCACTGGATCCCGATACCATAACTTCTTGCATCTAACCAACAATCTGTGGCGTGCGCTGTATCACACTGGTCACCTAGTGAGTGGTTTGCATAACCTTAAGCATACCTTGGCCCAGCTATGTTAGGAAAGAACAGTTGTGAAATACCAAACTGCGGAACGGTGACGACCCCGGTGCCTTCTTTACATGCAATCGTATTTGGTGGCTCCGAACTCGACTTATAGCGTCGGGTAAGCACTTTTATGTCAATCTGAAGAAATACGCTGGCTAAAAGCATAACATCCACCACATTCATCTGTAAATCAGGGACTTCCATGAACGTTCATAATGACCTTAGACTAATTTTGTAACTTCTTTAATTCAGTTGATGCACACTTACCGATGAAGCCTTCAGCTTCTTCATCACTTCTCTCGCCATCCAACTCAGCGAGAACGATATCTGGCAAAAGGGAACTCCTTCTGGAGACGAGAATGTGCCGCGGACAAATGCAACCATGAGGGCGACCGTAAAACTTAGAGTACAGCCAACGAAGCCCCATGAGCAGTTGCTGCGTCCACCGCATTATGGAGAATTCACTGTACTCCGTACGGCGGCAAAGAACATCCAAAAGTTCACCACCAGGGATCCAGTGCGACACGTTTATTCCAAAGGACGGTTTCGCTGCATCATTCGCTAACCACCCAAGGGAGGCGCCACATGGGAGCAGATGCCTTGCTGCAGAGAAAATGCAGGTGGCCTCCATACCAATGAAGTAGTCCTCTACAGCAGCAAGGGGTCCGCCGCACGATGTATTCAGGCCAGTCAACAGAATGCCCTCTCTGCGAGCGGATTGTTCAACTCTGGGGTCTTCTGCATCCTTAACTTTGGTCACTTTGAGAAGCAGTCTGGGCGGAAGGGTCAGGTGATCCCTGCCACTGGTCGCATGTCCTGTTAACATCGGGTTGGTTCTGGCCACAATCCACTTACAGAACTTCCCCCTAAGAAAAATAATAGAGAATTATTTTTATCTTATGGACAATACGATACATTCGTCACTTTAGCGCTAGTCAAATGAATTATAGAAAAACCGCAAATCTCTTATAAACGAATGAATCCTCTCTGAGGCGAACGCTCTACGAGGAACTCTCATTTTTTTGATATGGTGGTTCGTTTTGACCCATGTGAGCTTCGGTCTCGTCCATGCCTGAACAAAATAACCAGGTCCAGATCGCATATTATACTGAATGCGCTAACGGGATTCATTAGTGTCGCACTTTCTTTGTTGTATCCGATCAGTGAGTGCATAAACTGGTGAATTATATCACCTCAATGGTTCTGTATTGTGAGCACACTACTGAAAAGTCACACCCTATTCGTACGGTTTCCGGGTGAATGGCTCTGCTGTCGCACCCGTTGCCGCTCTACCAGCATTGCAGCTCGATATGTTGTATCGATCGGATGTTATCTGCATTGCTTCCGATGGGTGTTATAGTCTATGTGTGTTCTTGAAATGATCGGCCAGTTGTGGTGCACTATTAATGAGAAGGATGAACGAAATCTCGCCGAGCTCATCGCGCTTGCTCGTTTCACGACACTACTACTTAGTAGCGCACCACACAATGAGCGAAAGGCTGAGGGGTATGCCTTGTAACCGAAAGTCATCGGTTCGAATCTGTGGATGTGGCCGACCCCATAGTATCCCTAATCCTCGCGCGACCGATATTGGCCCTGTGGCAGCAAATCGTCGGTGCAGCACATCAGCGTACAGCTTATGCTTTCGTTCTATTTTTCAAAATTTTCGCTCGTCTCAACCGCACGTTCCTTTCACATGGCGTACTGCCATCTTTGGATAATATATAAATTATTTATTTTAATTCCTGGACCTTTTGTGTTTCTGTCGCTCCATAATTGAGTTTGTTGTTTGAACTCCTCATATTTATTAGTCTGACTACGCTCGAATCATCAACCGCCGGCTTAGCACACGCCAGGCAACCAAGTCCGAAACTCAGTGCAAACCGAAATTCAATTTTATCTGATTTCTATATTGGTACCCCCGGGTCTCCATTGAGATGCAGCTCAGATAATAACCGGAGAATCGAAGAGATTCGATTACACAAATTGTAACTAGATGGCTAAATGGGCACTTCGTAGTTAGAAACGCGCTAGAAGATTACTTCGTCACATTTGAAGGTCAGCGTATAATGCCATCAGATATTTGGTGGTCTGACGAAGGACGTCTGATCTCTGAATGCCAGGCCTGTTTTCTGCGCAGCGGCGAATCGCACGGTAACGGAGGATGAGCCACGCTTTATCGTGGCTAGTAGTGTTGGCGTATCGTTATCATCCATAGCCCATCGAAGAGATGTGTATTTGGGTCTCACCATTCTAGAAAATGTTTGCCCTTGATGAGCCCTGATAGAATGAATCGACTAGTCAGTGATTTGCTATATGTGTATTCACTGTCAACTTGAGCCACCGTGAAAAAATCTTCGTGAGATGCAGTACGTTGTGTCAAATTCATCTCGTCGCCCCGTAACCTAGAGGTAACGAGCTTGTCTCGTTATCTTGCGGCGCGGGTTCGAATCCGCCTAGGCCCTAGGGAGTGGGCGTCCTCGCGGTATACTCAACCCGCGTGCGACTGGTGGTAGTCGCAAGGCAGCGAAGAGGGGTTACGGCGTACAGCTGACATATTATTATTTATTATTAATTCACCCCCTCTGTTCTATGCTGTTCTTGGTTAGGAGTGTGCATCATTCCCTGTGTATCGGACAAGACCATTCAATCTCATTCACGGTCATCGACTCCAGTTTTATCTGGTTTGACAAATGGTGGTTGAAATATTTTTCTTTATTTTGTGTCTTATATGATGCAGCTTTGTCTACCATGGTAATAGGTGACTAAACTTTCGCACTCTTGCCATTGTATCCAGTCAGTCTTGGCCCCAGAATTGTTTATCCCTTAACCTCACCTAGTGGTCAGGACGCTAGTTCACACGCCACTCATGCAGAGAATGACATAAATCATCCTTCATAAGACACGCTAGTATTTGTTGCGGCTATTTAGAACAAGTATCTGACAATATTTCTGCGTAAGATTCAGATATGAACTCATCAATTCTTGGTGTCGTCCACCTTTTAGCTTCACTCAACACATTGCTTTCAGGAGCCCCAGTGCAGCATCTGCATGTATGTGAACTAGCTCCGAGTCGACGAAACGCTTCGGTTCTAGGGACTGCGTTTAAATAGTCGTCCAACGTTCTTAGAAGCTTTTTGCATAAATTTCTAAAGAAGCATGTTTCATTGGACACAACTTTGATAATGTAAAATATCTCACTGCCTTGTCTTTCCGATTCTTGGTAAGTTCGTCCTTTTTATTACCTCACCTGAGTACTACCGCATGTCACTCAATTTTGAGTTATTTACTTAGCTGGCAATTCCTTCATGATTAATGCTAATGGCTTGGAAAAGTGTGTGGCACATGCAATCCGAAAGTGGGCATATTTCGCTTCTATGCATGTAACACAAACGAAACACTGTTCATGAGCTACACAGTTTGCATTTGCGCGCATCAGTTTGCACCTACTTTGCGATCAGACACTCGGGAACGCAGATTTCTCGAAGCACATCCAGGTCAGGAATCAACCCTCCGTGTCGCTCCAGCTTCTCCAAGGCCTTGTCCGACAGCGGCGGAGGGACCGAATTGCTCAGTGCCATACAGAATTGAACGGCCAGTGGGTGCTCGCTCAGCGCATAAATATCGGTCGATTGGCGCCAAGTCAAAATCCATTCTCTATCGGCTTGGCTCAGTAGCTGAGTGGTTGCTGCGCAGGAGGCTATTTAATGTGAAATGCATTAAAACGTAGTTATTCAAATTCCATTAGAAGTGCGAACACCACTTCCAACCTAGCCTTTTCAAAGTGTACAATAATCAGCGCCTAGGATTACTTTTGTATATAGACGATACCTTACCGGATCTGTATTCATTGGGGGTCCACAAAGGTTGAAATCGGTTACGAAAGAATACTCTGCACTAAATATACTTAAAGTGTTTCCGGTTTGCCATAATTCTCAAGTCATCGAGTGTTGTTCGATTCGAATCCTACGACCGCCTACTCGGGGGAAACATCCCATCCCATCCTGCTCATTGAAATGAGGTGAGCTTACGTGCGCACTTTTGTGTACGCAGGTATATTAACAGCTTCCAACATATTATGCACCACATGATGAAGGAACGGTTCACTGGAGAAGCTTAAAATTGAAGCTCTCCAAAGATAACTGAAGCTCGATAACGTTACATCCAGTTTACATCCTTGGAGGAATAGATACCATGCTGTCGCTTGTCTGTGCTGATGGCACAGTTATACTCCTAGTCTAGAGACAAACTATTCGCCTGTTACAATGTATCTACTAAAGCTCGAATTCGCCTTTTCTCTGCATATTCGCAATACACTTCAATGATTCTTTTTGTACAGTGAAAACACATTGCTAGACAAACCTTTTAGCTGAACGACACATGACGTGGGAGCGACATGTTTAGTCAACGGATACACATGCAACGATAACTTGCTGGGTCCTAAGAGGTGGATCCGGCTATGTACACCTAACGAGTGGATTCACATGTGAACTTCATCAGAATTACCGCTACTAATCCATTTTATTTGTTCACTCGTCATTTACCGCAATGGTATCCTGTCCAAGTTTTTTACTCTTCTTGTATGGATGGATGTGCACTAAACCAAGACGGTCCTGCTCCCCGCGTATATGAAAACCATCAGATTAGATCATTTTGATCTCTACTCGATTAGGCTAGAATGCAATGGAGAATCACACATACTAGCTTACTTTCCGGGGTTTGAAACTCCGAGGATGCCACACTGTAGGAACCCCAACCGAAGATGTTACCCGCAGAGACACGCATGCGATACCGAGCAGCTGGCCGCAGATTTGTAGCGAGGAACTGGCAGTCCACCGTAAACCCAAGCGTTCGCCAAGTGGCCTGTTCTTGGTTTGCTGTGGATACATTGAAATAGGAGATAGGGCAACATCAATGGGAACGCAGTGGCAATAGGAAACACATCACTTCACCTAGTTGATGCCAGATGACTCGGTCGTGGTTGCTCTTTGGAATACGGCATACCCGAGTTGTGATCAGCTTGAATGAAATATCTACTACCCACCACATCGCAGCAACCTTTGTCACCCACTCTGCTTGCTAAACTGACTTCGCTACTACAGCTTCAAGTTTGTGCTCGAAGGCATACGTTTATTACGTACTTGAACATTTTGCATCGACGCGGTAGATCATATCTGCATTGAGCGCATGGTCAGTCGGTACCCAGGAGATTAGAGCTTCTGTCGGACGAATCTCTGTCACTCCTGGTCGGCCGGGACATTTTGGGGGACCTGTGGCATGAAGGGAGAAGAAATATTGATTTACTCGTTTTCACAAAGGTTCTTAACTGCCATAAGCAGACTATGGTAGCCCATAGGTTTCTACAATATACTGCGGCGCTGGACGATAGTCTGCAACACTTACACCACCCGAGAGAGTGATACGGGCGCAAACGACTATTGGGAAATATTGGAACTAAGTGGTCTATTCGCACCAGAGTATGCGGTAACCAAAGCTCATTATAGCCCTATAACCTCAATTACATGAATTGTGATTGTCAGCATTCGTTGTGCCTCATCCCTTCATCTTAGTTTAGCCTAAACGTTTATGTGTGCTATTGGGTACCTGAGATTGGCTTAAACCGGTTAAGGCGGAATGGAAGCACTTGGCGCCCACTCCGATCGCCAAACGTTACCGAAACTGATGGCTTCCCGGTACTTTAGACAATCAAAGTCCTGCTAGTTGGCTGCACCATGTAAGTGACCATGGACCATCCATCGCTCTGCTACGTCTAGTGTGCGAATCTTCTCTAGACCTCTACTTGAGACAAACAATCACTGCGCTATTGAAATGCTGAAAATGTTTGCATATGCTCGTGATATCTGCCACACCCACAGACTGTCACGTCCTCGGAGTCTGTAACTCGTATTCGTCCGTTAGGTGTAGATTGGCTGAGAGAAAACATGGCTGCCACTCGTGTGCCCAGTGCTCTTCTTTCCGTTTTTTTCTGAAGACGTACCGAATGGGTGGAACTGTTGTAGAATGCGGTACAGACTACTTGTTGACGCCGGAGTGACAGCCCACCAACACAGTAACTGTTCAGTAAGAACACGCATCGTCATTCGCAAGAACAAAGCTCTTAGGGCACCTCGCGGTACGCAATCAGAAGCAAGAGCGCACGCGGTTTATCCGATGGCTACGAACAAGAAGGCGCGTGAGGTGTTGGTCACCTAATGTCGGGCTTGTCTCACTGTGCCAATGAAAAGAATAGTGGAGAAGACAGAGCACTGCCCATGGTCCTTCTGCTGGTGCAACCGTCCTGTGACTGTTTGCAATCTAAGTAGTCAATGAGTGGTCCTATCCATAAAGTAAGTTGACGTGTATACATGTGTGGTTGGGTGGCATTCATGACACATGAACTGGCCTATTCTGTCGGCTGAAACTGGACGGTTGGTTCCAGGAGGTGTAATTCACAGTTTCGGGGTGAAATGTATGAAAAGTAATAGCAGTAATGAATAACGAGTTCATATGTTTTAGTCAATCAAACACGCATGAGTTTGTGTGCCATGCCCTCTGCCAGCGTGATTGAAAGAGTTACTCCCTTCACGGAATGACATATGGTACTATTGTTGGCACATCTGTTTACTGCGTTCTCCTCTCCTTAGCCAGACACCAAAGAACTCTGCGGAACGTTTTTCGACCGCATTAAAGCACTTCCGTCTATCGCCGTTCGCTTCAGTCCCTCATCTTAATAGTTTACCGCGTAATGGAATAGCTAATTTTCTCCATGGACTCATTGTTTTCTGCCCTGTTTGTGGATACCGGTATTCGCGTTTGGTACGCCTCTCCAACCTGATAACAATTATTGTCTGGTGGAATGTTCAATCTTAGAAACAACCTAACTCGATCTCCTCCACGTGTACTACGGCAAAAGCTCCACTCGCCTGATGAAAATTGAGTCAGACTTACTTGCTTGCAGCAACCGAGCTTGCGTCCTGGCTTTTCCTGCTCTGTTCCGTACGACGCATTCTACCACACTGCCCGACTGTTCAGCGTCCAGTTCGGATAGACACAGCCACAGCCAATTCCCTGGCCCGGCTCCGAGTTGCACCCCTGGTCCATCCGATAACAGGCATCCGCCTAGGTACCACGCGGCAACCGTGGCGGAGGACGATTGACAATCTTGTGTTTTCACTAATTGTGCAGGGTACACTTCTGCCATGACTTCTCGATTGCCGTAATTGCCGGGCGGGAGAATCGCTGGACCAGCCAGTTGACAGCTGAAGCGCGCCTCACCCGAGTGGATGCTGAAATACGCGTCGCGTAGTGGACTTGCGAACGTTGGTGCCGCTGCTGAAACTACATGAAAATAATGAGGAACGATGCGATCAATATGACCACCATGTGTATTCTAATACCATTCGACATATAGCAAATGTGATATTAAAACGGTTTATCTTTTTCTGCTGACAACATCAGACGCGCAGTACTGGCTTCGTAGTCTAAGGGAAGCCAGCTACACGTCTTTCGCCCGTCCGAAGCTATGTTTCTTCACATTTGGGTGGCTTACTTAGTTTGGGGTCGGTGCCTAGTGCGTGAACCGATGTTACCTTCATCGTGCTTCTTTGCTTCATTTCGGCTAGACAGACTTGCCGCAAGTAGGACTAATGCTAAACATCTATCTTGGTGCTTTCCTTCTTAGTGCCTTAATTTTTCTTTTAACTTTCACTTCACGATTTGTCCGACTTTTCACCTTCCTTTATCATATTGTTGCTTTTTCCCTCACTTTTTGCCATGAAGTGTGATTGTGAGGGCTTGACTACCATGCCTTAGCGTGCGGAGGCTGGCTCCGTGAAGATTAGATCGCTTGCGAAACTGTTCGTCAGCACTGTTTAATTCACCTAGATCAGGAGTCACCAAGCATTTTTCACAGCGCGCCGGATAGCTGAAAACGATGACCAGCGCGGGCCGGATGGCCGAGGCAAATTACTTGTGCGGGCCGGATAACTGACAAAATGGCTAGTGTGGACCGCATACTCATTGTACACAATACTTGCAAGCCCGAACAGAAACAAAGAAAACACGGCGCTCGATGTGTACGTTTCTTTTCTTCGCCCATTAACTGTCTTTCTTGAAAATTTTTGGTTGTAGTGGGCAAATGAGCTCCTGTGCTCAGTACAGAGCACGCATATGATCACTTTTGGTTTCCTGCCACAGACGACATCTCGTGGAAGACGTGCACATCCTAGTTTCCTCCATGAGCGTCAGATAGCGTTACTAGTTGGGTTAAAGTGTGTAATCTCCATGACCCCGATTGGGAATCATGGCAGTTACTGGGTTAATGGCCTTGGTGAATGCTGAACTAACGGGGAGCAGAATGTTAAGAGGATGCTGCATTACAAGCATAACAAAAATCCTGTTAACATCAGTCACTGTTGGAGCTACGGTTTACCACGGGTACAAGTTAAGTTTATTGGTGCATCCGGTAAGTGAATATATATATATATATATATATATATATATAAAGAAGTGCCCCATGCTGGGGCTGATGTTGCATTCTTGATGCTTCTTCATCGCAGTTGGGCTAAACCAACTTACACTTAAACTAGGTCTTTTTAAGCTGGGTAAATTCTATTCCACTTTATTTGCTTTGTTCTGCCTACCTGAATAATCTTTATTAACTGGCCACGTTGCTTAGGCTAATTGGGGTTACCTTCGGTAATTTTGTTGCGTTTGTAGCATTTTAAGTAACTTGTGGACATTTTTTACTTATCGCGGATTCGCTGCTAACCAACTTACTCCATATGCTAGTTTAGCGAAGAGTTATGCCACAGTATCTGTATGCATTATTCGATTTATTTTATTTCATCTTGTCGTTTCAAGTGATTGGCTGTTGCCTGATATCCCCAGTGTGGCTGCGCTTGATGTTCATGTTGACAAGGCGCCTACCTGTTTATTACCCCCCCACCTCGTTCATACTGGCTCCAGGAGACAGTTGGTCGTTGCTGGAGGGGACGGGGTGCACCATCCTTGTGGCCGTGTTAGGCTCGAAAAGCGGTTCCGTGCACTCAGTGTGGAGCGGACTACGGTCCAGCCACCGCCTTGTGTGCGCTTGATTTCCCAAATACAGCGTGCTTGTGTTTGCCTGTGAAGGAGTGTGGGCCGGCTCCATTGATGAACCGTGGCTCCCATCCACATACCTCCCGGTCTTATTCCTTTAGGTTTACACTGGATATCGGTGTGTAGATGGAGCCGTGGGTGGTGCAGCGCAAGTCACCTATGGACCCTCTGTAGGCGCAGGCGTGACAGGCAAATCCGAAACCGGATGCCTCCAACCATGTATAAATAGCAAAACGCTTTGAAAGTTTGTGTTAAGGATTTCCACTAGAACTGACTCAACAAACATTGCTGCAACTGGATACATTTGCTAATTACGTGTATTTAGCTACGCCAAAAGGTACGTAGCTCAACAATTTGCGCTTCCAACGCAAGTCCGTACAAACAACCTGCAATTCCTTTCAATTTGCTAGAGCGTAAGGCTTTAAAAATGACACATGCACAATCTAATGGCATCCTAATAAGCGGTTTTATATAACGTGTGCCTCAAGGGAGCTGACTAACGGAACTTCGCGGCACACGTGTGCTGCGTAAACCGAAACACAATAGGTTGCACGAATGAGTGGGTTTCACACGTGGTCACACGTCAATAACCCAACGATGTGTGGTCACGAATAGTGCGGTAGTACAGTGTCCCGTGTAACAATCATGAGCTGGATCGCGCTAGTGTCCAGCCGGTACTTGGTCACGAACAACACAACATGCAGTGTCAAATGTAACGTGTGCCACAACCTCTCGTGTTCCATACGCCTTCTCAAACATATTCGGGTAAACTTGGCGGACTATTAGGATTGCGGACACGCACGTTGGCGATAGATGACCTAAACGGCTTCCTCCACTTGCAACTGGCTATCCGGGGATCTGTCCCACGCAGGACAGTCCCAAGCGGGCTGTTGCTTACTGGACAGTGGGCAAGCAACCACACTGCATCCCGGTTGGTCGTCACTACTCAGGAGAATTCATACACATTTCGGTTGGTTCCTGTAACTTTGTCCTCGCCCTCTCCAACTGTCGGACTTGGTGCTCTAATGCCTGACTATTATTTCCGTTGCTAGGTGGTTCGGTGTTACTCATCCCAACACTGACACCCCATAACCGCTTTGGTCCTCGTTTGGATTCGTCAGATGGAGATAGCCTGAGCTAGAGTGGAACTCGGTGCCTAGTGATTAAAGACTGACGCCTTGATCACTATGACTCTAAGATCCGTGAGCAACACTTGGCACTGCGGTAAGGAATTCGAAGTTGGGTTTGAAGTATCCGTACATCAAATGCAGTCCGTATTACGCTCGTAACCGGTGTTTTCCTCCACCAGACAGATTATCCCCATTCGAAAACCCGTCACGGTCATCGCTACCTGATAATGGGCCGTCGTGTGCTCTATTCGCTGGGATCTTCAAATCCTAATAGTTATCAAATTATTTAGTTAGCATGCTCTCCATAGTTGGGCTATTACTTTACTCACCCCAGTGAGTAGGCGATTTGTGATGATGTATGTTACCGGAGCCCGTCCATAGCAGCCATCGAAGTCAGCTCTCACTCTGTTTGAAGCAACCCGCAGTAGATTGATCGTATGCCGCCTGTAGCCGATTGGCTAGCCAGTGAGAGTAAGTCCATGGCATCGTTTTCCCTTGGACTGGACCAATCAGAATGACCTGCCTTGAAGCCTTGAAGCGCACTACTTGCTCAGCCAACAAGTGAGTATTTGCGCATCTAGTAGTTGCTATAGTCGGGAGCTTTCAGTTAGGTCTTTTCTCTCATGATCTATTTATTTTGACCCCATATTTTGGCTGTACATTCCGGGTCCTCCATACAAGTTCCGCCAGAGGCCTTTGTTTTATTATTTGGGAAGTGGTTGTATCGTGAACAGAGTGGCTGCATCGGTTGCCCGTACTGTCAACGGAAAGACAACAATGAATAAGCTATCAGGCCTCGATAACTCCAATACAGTGGTATCCTTTTTATGTCGCGGCTCGCACACTGCAAGTCTAGTCGTGAGTTCTATCTTGTACATTATTTAGTTTTATAAAACCATGAATTATGTTTATGTTCTACATTCATTGCCTGACAGCCTTCGTCATTTACCTTTCTCGGGGCGCGCTTGGCTAAAACCTAGTTTCGTTGTTAAATTGCCTTGAATACGGTTGCAATTGCGCGAACGCTAAACTGGATGCATGGGTATTCAGGTGTTTGATATGATCACAATTTAACTATAAACACCACTCTGGTGGGTACACTTAAACTGTTAATGGGTCTCAGTCTGGGTACAGCCGTCGATGGTAAACGAGTAAACATGATAAACCACGTGGTTGAACACCACTCTCATCACCTTCAGCTCTTCTCTGCAAGGGTAGGGCACATTTAACTGGAGTGGCAACGTCGCTAGCAGTTACAATCCAGAGATGGAAATGGCTTCACTTCGTCTATGACTGCAGCTTTGCTACGCTACCTACCCCTACTTGGGAGATGCATGCTCTTGCTTCCTTGATTTGCTCAGACCCTCTTACATGTCGCTTCTCGGGTTCTGGACAAAATGCAATGTCAGTTCACCGATTTCCTCCAGACAGGTTTGCATTGACGCTGAAATGCCGTAAATCAGTTGGTACAATCGTCTTGTGGATCGATTTAAAAATTGGGATGTGTTTCAATTCTTTGTCTTCGCAAAATGCCCATGTGTTTTCAATAACTTCTTACTACCCGTTCTCCTATGCAACGTGATCCTGTTGGAGGGGTACATAACTTCTACTTTGTTTGTAAACACACAGTCGGCTTTTTACATCATCATCATCATCATCCAAGGGTTAAACTCACTTTGTGGTTGCATTGCGGCTTCCATTAATGAGCTCCGTTGCATAGTTTCTGATGCTTGCCCGTTTGTTTCACTGGTGAAAGGCGGCTCCTGAAGCTCCATCGTAGCAGACGATTCAGCCTCAGCTAACATCCCCTCAGTCAGGGTATTCTGCCTCATCATGTACAATTTCACGTTGAATTCGGTAGACGTGTCATCCGCAGATACCACAGATACTCGGGGGCCATTGTCTTGCTGGAAGGTCGAGGCATCACTCATGTGTGTGTCCGAATCGATACTGAAAATGGCATATCAATGTGAGATCCTTCCACGATTATTTGTATAACGATGGTGTCCAAAGACAAAGCTGCGCGTAGAACAGTCTGCTCTACTCCCCACTGTCACCCAATCTGCTATTCAGCATATGAACTGCATGATGAATATAACGGTTGTGCTTAGAGGTTGCTACAACTCTTAGTGGCTCATTGCGACTGAATTTTTCATCAATGAATTGTGGATCATTAAAGTGCATAAAACGTACTGCTCTTTCTCTTCTCTAAAGCCTCAATTTGCTACATTTCTACTGCCAGGCAATTACAGTTATCCTAGGCATATCGTGCATACCTCGGACTGTGAGTATTAGGAAAATAGTAGAGTTCACGTAGTGTTCTTGTCCGAGGCCAGTGAAATCTAGTGCTGCACTTACAGTCTGCCCCATTACCGAGTATCCCGTAGTGTATTGCATCAAAAGTCCGTTGTGAGTATCCCTGATATGTCACCCCAGTGAACACACGTTCAACCCATCTCATTTACTATAAGATGACCTGTTTCGCAACACGAATCTGCCTTTTGTGCCCATCGGTTAGATGAGAGCTTCGATCTTAAGAAACCAATATATGTCCCAATCACTCTATTGGTTTAGATGGTCGGGCTGTAGTACAATAATGCGTAACCTTCAAAGTATCACTTACTCGTGTACATTCATTAATTCAGAAAAGTTTGGAATCGAGGATGCTCTGGAAGATACATCGCTCGTACTATCTTCGCTGTGTACAGGAATGGTCGTGAGCTGACGAATCCGCTTCCGTACGCATTGATGTATGCCTTGTAATCCGTACGAGCCCCATTCATCGGAATCTTTGATGAACGATTCTGTATTGGCTTGCAATTCACCAGGGAACCTGGTTCGATAGTCCGCTGTCATTGAACTCCTCGCTGTTCGCACTTCGGTTTTCTGGGGATGGAAAAATAGCTGCACACTAATTTGTTTGATATATCTGATTTGCTATAGTGCAACCCCCCCTAAATCACTAGGGCGAGTTGTGAGATACTTATCACATGCAACCAGAACCACCCGCTAAGTTTAGACACATCGGTCATCTGCACATGTCCGTCACACATGGCATATTTTTCAGGGTATCCAATTCCACCGAAATGCATCCTCTCCATCATGAGCCCATGCCGTGATTCTATCCTTCGCACATCGATGCTGCCTAGTTTTTGCTGAAAAATACGCTGAGCTTTATTGTTGTCTGTATCTTTCTGAACTACGTTGCATCACTAACCTGCATTCTCGCCGACCTAAATGTAAACTTCGAACGAATCACTCATATAGTTTAGTGAACTTGTTCGCATGGCACAGATACTTTCAGGCTGGAGTTTCCGCAAATCTTTTGCCTGCTATAATCGGGAATTATCGAATTATGAGACATGTCATAATTTGCACCTGACGTTCCACAGTCTATTGTTTTCGATGTTAACAAACCCATAAGTCTGCCTCTGTCGATTCAGCTCATTGCTGTACTTTGTGTGCCTCAGGACTGAACCGCTCTGCGTTTGCCCTCTAGGATGGAAACATGCCGCTGTATTCCATTGTTTTCGGTTGCCGTATGCCGTATGAGTTGTTCATTGTTAACCTTGGTCTACCTATTTATGCACAAACCATCCGTGCGTTTCATGGTTCGCGGTGTGTGTTATCCAGTAAGTACGCTCCACGTTGTGTGCGCTACCACGATGAACACAGGGACTTTTCTCCATATGGCACTTACCGTGACAGAATACACATCATAGTATTTCGGGAGATTTGGTAGCTTGTACTCCACACCAATCTTTGCTGCTCCTTTCGGTGGGCACAGCCAAGAAGACGAAAGGCATTCTGCGGCAGTTGGTCGATCCCTAAATCACAACAACAATAACAACAGGATGCAATTAGAATGTGCTACTATCGGATCAATAGTGCGACCATGCAAGTTAAATTATGTCAATATGTGTTGTATGCACTCGAAAGATTGCATCTGAATTTTTGCTATCCCCACGGATGGTGTCAAGTAGATAGAGAAGCAATCGCAAAACGGAGCATATGGACGATTACCACTTCAACAACCGCTAACGCAACATGTTTATGACTTTGGAGTGGAAAATCAAACGTGTTAACTTATGTATAAAAAATACTTGTGATTCGGCGAAGTGTGAGAAGAGGCCTTAATTTGTGCACGCGTAGAGGAGAAAATCACTGTTCCTGATGGGACATTGTGCGATGACATGCGACCCGACGCTAGTCAAATCAATGTGGGAATCGGTTAATAAGCCATTGGGTTTCCATATACCCTTTATCGATCCCACCATCTTCCTGAAGTAGTCTAGGGATATTGATAACAGAGCAATACGACCAATGGTCGAGGATGCATAATATTTCAAACTTTCGTATCAGGCTACGATACACTAAAATTGTCTTAAGTTTGTTAATCGTGCATGGACCAAGATAGTTTTGGGAACGAAAGATACCGAGATACTTGGCAAGGGATAAACTAGCTATGATGGTGTCATTCACAGTCCGAAATGCGGTGGAATTTATGATGGACTCCAACCTGTGTGCATGAAGAGAAGAAATATAGCATCATCACATTCGGAGGCTTTAAGAGTAAATTATCTAGTTGATGACCATTTTATCGTTTCTTCTCATTTACTTTGAAGCGTGGAAGATGCCTTAATCGCGGGGGCCCTACTCCCTAAGACAATCTCATCGGCATATCTGCATCCAATAAAAGTTGTGATATGCGGATGTTTTCGAGATATAAAAAATTAGAACAGGTGTGGTGATCGTCCTCTTTAGAACGTCGCAGCCGATATGGAGTATGGAGGACCTTTTACCGTTTGCTGGTGAATCGAGTACTATTGGTATAATATTCACACAACACTTTGTACACATCTGGGTGAACTTCATGCATAGGCATTACAGCAATAGCAGTGGACTTACTTTGGATTCTTCTGTAGCAAACTGCTGACAAATCGCCTGGCATCGTCAGATACATTGTTGAATTCCTCCATTGCCAATGAATACGATGCGTTCAGTATGTGCTCATAAAGCACCTCCCCCGTAATTGGATCGATAAATGGACACCAACCAGTTAAGCTAGAATATGGCATTAGATGGGCAAAAATGTAACGATATTGTTAGTCGTGGTATTTTATAACAAGGAATTGTCTCGGACTCTAGTTAAACCGCAGCTAGGAATTCTTACATCTATGCTACTACAAGTCTGAAGTAGAATTCTGTGCACGCAATTTGTAAGCGAGTGCTGCGCAGATTAGCTATACCTTTATACAACTGAAGTATGTTCCCAACGATCCAATGATGAGTGCTATTGACTAAGTGGGACATGATAAACAGGAATCAATGCACAACGTCTACCACCTTCATAGACAACATTGATGTTTTCACGGAAACAGTTGGTGTAGAGCCCAAAGGTCTACGTGTTCGGTATTTTGGTTCTGCGAAGGTGCTCTTCTTAAACTGGACGAACCTACTACATACTAGCTTTAACTTTAAATTGTTTTCCATTCAATCGGGTTAAGTGTGTTGTTCAATACCGCTAATCATATCATCGACATTTCTGCATGATGTGTCAAGCCTCCATTTTTCACCCTAGTAGAATACCTCCCGATTCTGTTCGATGAAACAGCCGCAGGCTACCCTGTCCTTCAGCCCTGAAATCACTGGATAGGTACACGGATGAGACAAATCTCTACTCTTACGATTCCTGAAGCGATTCTACCCATTGGCTACGGTAAACACAATAGGTAAAGCCACTTTCTTAATTAAGTGTTTTGGTGGGTGCACACAGTTATCTAGGGACATCATAAGCCGTAAACGACAAAGCATGACTTAAACTTTGCTGACCGTCAGTAATTGCCTCCTGTTTTAGCGTGAACTTCCGAACACAGGTTGCATATTCCGGGTTACCTGTTCCCTTCACTTCACTATATGACCTACATTGTCCTTGTCTTGATTCCTCGAGTAAGAGCATCCCGATGATGGATGATGATCGCTCGCAACACACTACACTCTGTGTCCGGTTTCGTACTCATTCGCACTCATCACCTTTCGTGAAGTGCAGCATGTTACATGCGAACAACACCCAATATTCACCGCCTTTAGATGCAGTCCCGGTGACTGAATTGACTCAACCTCCCTTTAACTTGACTTGCGGTACAGATTGAGATTGCATGCCCCACTCCGTCAAATAATGATTCACAGTGACCTCTCCAGCCACTGGTGATGGTGGTGATTCAAACCGGTTACTTTAGCCATGTACTCAGCTTCATTGCCACTAACTCCTATTACTCTGTAGGTCCTAGTTTTCACATAGACTGAACTGCGTCTGAAATATCCATTATGTGGTTTAAGTGCAACATGCACTTCAGACTGCTATCATGGTTTATGTTGAACTGGACAGTGATCGTTCGTTCTTAATTTCACGTTGTACAATCGGCTTTGTGCTTGCTTCCACTACCCTTCAGGCAGAGATCTTCGAACTCGATATCTAATTCGGGACATAGCTTGGCGGCTGATGCATATACTCCTACATTTACCTTTATTTGCCTCAAATGCAGTCCCAATAACTGACCTAAGGTGAATCGCCTTCTGGATTGAGATTGCATGTTACGATCGTTCCATACAAGGAGTGCACTGAGACAAAAAATTAGACGGTGGTCTGTTCAGTGAATAGGACTACTTTATCCCTAGTAAGCAATTTTCAGCGATGTTCGCTCTCAGCATGTTGCTACTAACCTGTTTATTACGTGTGTGTGCTTTTGATGGAACTAATCCGAATGGGCTTCAAAATGATGACTTTTGGCTACTGGTCGATGCCGTGAAACATTCGGGTAAGATGTGCCAATTACATACATCTGTGTCAACAGTTGGAAGTCCACCGACGAGCAGTTAGCTGCATGTGGTACAAGAAATAGGTGCAGTTTCGAGCACAATGGCAGCGTTTATTCACACGTTAATATGGTTACTTACTCCCGAACTGGTACGACAGATGAAGATGTAATTTCGAGAACATAGAAGTAAATTTTGAGCACGCTACATGGACGACCTTCATTTGCTCCAAGTTTTCCAGACTTCAGCAACGGCTTTAGTAGCATTCGGTTTACATGAGCTGATGTGATTAGTGACCAGTTGCCATTTATATCATTATACGTAAATATATACCCTGTTGGACTGTTTGAAACAGCTCGCAAAATGAGCATTTCTTGGACTGCCACAACGATCATCCATTAACCCACCATCTCTAATGCATGGAATCCTGTCTAAGTAAACTGCGGCACGACACATCGCAACCAAGTAATGCGCAGAGGAGGATTATTTGTTCCTACACAGAGAGCACCACTGTAAGAAACCTGATGTCTCGAATGGGACCACAGTTTTCTTCGCCCATGGTTACAGACACAAAATCATTATACTTTACATGTGGGTACTTTTTAGACGGTAGTGGAATAAATCTTCTTCCTCAGGATCGCATTTGTTCACAAACCGACAAGAGTAGTCCACCTGAAGTTGTTCAAAAACAGCCACTAACGAAGCGAAGAGGGTTTGGCAGGTAAGATCTGCGGACCCTCGTCTATGAAGTGTAAAATGCTGCGACGTCCAAACGGGAAGGAAACACGAGACCTCGCCACATGCGGATAGTCTTATCACAGACTGTATAAGTGGGCACCATCCAAATCAGTATACATCGTCAGTGTGATCTTGAAGAGCTGGGAAGTAACGACCAGAGGAAGTTGTCGAAATCCCGAACTAGTAGACCGATCACGAACTGGTACTGTTCCAGACAACCTCCAGATGCATGTTATTCGCAGGCCTGACCATCACGAGAATGTCTGCCTGCTTGCCAACTCACGTTCAAACACTGCTAAGTTGCAAATGCGCAGCGCTTAATTTTGGTCCACTTCACATACTATCCTTGTGATCGATTGATCGAGGTTCACTTCAAAGTGCATTTTTGTTCTGAATGTGATTGCGTATCGCAATCCATTCACATAATGTGTGCTTTACAATGACCCCTCCAACCACATCAATAAGGTACTTTAACTGGAAGAAGGTGAAAATCCATAATGCCAATTATTTTAATCTAAAAGACAACATTCATACCTGCTATCCCTACCTGATGATATCAACTTAGGTTGAAACGCGTTGTAAAGTGCAGTGCTTTTAGGTGGGCAACATCCGATTTCCAGATACATCAGCGACGGTTCTAGTGTTCGAATTGACCAAGCTTCACTTCAATGCGAATCACGATTTCACATCGCAATCCGATCACACAACGAACGCTTCATAATGACCCTCCAATCAGACAACACCCATGGTTTTTAAAATAACAATCACTAGGCCACGTTCTCTCAACTTTATGCAAATCGACCGGTAGAATGCAAAGCACGTTGTCAATCTCGAACATGCTTTCATCCGCTCCATTAATCACAAGATCTATTGTGATTTGTCTACGCAATTGGTGCATCAATCGTCTATTTTGTCAACCGTAATATCCATCGTTCAATTCGTTATCGAGCAGTTGAAGAGACAGTATTGCAAGTCACTCCGCTATAATTACGACGGCCCAACAGGCGAGTTCTGGTACGGTCCGGAGAAACGAAGAACCGTTTAAAATTTGGTGGAGTCACCTGGAGGACCGACTTTAAATCGGTTTATCATTAGGTATATACAGTAGTATAGATTTACTCAACTTATCTGGTGTGATTTAATAACATCGAAACGCGCCATAGTAGTGTAGTGTTTTCGGGCGAGCAACGCCCAATTTCTATTTACATCAGCTGCGGTCCTCGTGATCGAAGGACCAAGGTTTACTTCAATGGGAATCGCGGTCAACATTGAGATTGCGCGTCGCAATCCATCCACACAAGGTGTACTTCAAAATGACCCTCAAAATTCCATCATTCGCCGCTATGTCAAGCGTTGCTGCTCGTGACCCGGTGGCTTAGGGATAGCGGTCTTAACTAACATCCCAATGGTCCTGGGTTGGATGCCTGCTACCTCTATCTGATGAGATGTAATATCATCGAAACGCGTCATCGTAGTGCAGTGTTTTCTGGAGAACAACACCCAATTTCTATTCACTCAATCATTTGTTATCCCGCTCTGAATGCAGCTGACAGTAGAGCACGACCACTATCTTAATCTATAACTGTGGGACTTTCTGGATAGAACGGGTAGTGTATACAGATTCCAGTTTCGTCTTTGCATTGTTGTAGCCATAAAGGTATGGAGAAGCTGGTACAATGAAGCTCTTAGATTATTTGATGCATTAATGCACTCTGGTTTGAATAGAACAATTGGATTCGCCGTCATCACAGAACTCACAGTACATAAGTTAGCACACCCACACTCCACATGTCAGCAGCTGGACCCAATGCCACATAGACATCTTCGCAGCCCGAACCTTTGTCTCCTTTGTGTGCCAGTATTACTTCAGGTGCGGAATACTCTGGCCGGAGCCGAAAAGGCAGGCAGCACGATTTCGGGCAGGTATCCTCTGTGCATGGCTCCGCGACCGTAAATCCCACAAGTTTGAGTAAGTGACTTAGAACGCTCATCTTGTGTCGATCCGTCACGCCGTGACCCATTGCATCGTTGACCAGAGGTGATAGGACACGGAAAAGTTCGGTGTATGCGTTTTGCTCGTCCCATCTGTCAGTCGCCAGATTGGAGGCGAATACCAGATTGTTTGGCTGTTTAATGTGGCAGGAATTGGTGAGGTAATGTTGGATATTATAATGGCTCTTTCATGAGGCAACTGCTTCGTTAATTTTTTGTCTTACTCAAGCAAATGACACTGAAGGAAAATTGCGACTGATGTAATTAGGTGAAACCATGACAATTTATGACCAGTTAATAAAATACTGCTCCGTACGAAAGCGGTTAACATCATTGTCGGCAGATAACTAACCAGATATGAAAAACCGAACATCACGAAATTCGTAGCAACTATAAGTATGGAGTACGTGGATTTTACTGCCTCCACGATTGCAAAATATGAACAATGATTTATCACGGGTAAAAAGCATGTGCTTGACAAGTCCCGTAGGAAGGTTGGAGTAAAAAATTAATAATTAATTAATGAGTAGATCGTTATTTCGAGCTTCTACCAATTTAAATGCGCTACTACATAACGATAGTTTGAAGTTGGAATGGGATGTGCCGTAACCGGGAAGTCCTGACGCCGTAAGGCCATCCGCTCTCATCTGCATGGCAAGTGCGTGCATGGCAGTGGAGGATGGGTCGGGCTATATCGCAGTTAGCTAACAATTCGTGATGGTCGGCTGCTGTCCCCCATGGCTCAGTTGCATAAGCTGCGGGCTAGTTGGCACAAGCCACTAGCAGTCATGGGTTCGATCCTCTGTGGAGGACCGAAGGATGCGCACCACTGACGAGCCCCAATAGGGCGCAACGGCCGTCTGGTGCTTTTCCGGATAGGTGCTTAACTTATCTAAATTGTCGGCTGATTGCGACGAACGAAAATACTCACCAAAATCCTTCCACTTATAAGTAGTATAAATTCCGTTATACTTCAGTAAATGCTTGAGGAAGAAAAAAGGAAACGACAACGCTCACTCGTGTGTTGCTTCATTTGACAGATGTGGTATGTTAATCCAGTTTCGATACATCCAGGCTACTCACATGGACACTTCTGCATATATCCTCACCACCACGTTGCGCAGAGGGCCATTAAGCACATGGTTAGGTTTGCGTTAGTTGGTCCTCCAAATGGAACGGACCATATCAGATAATGCAAGTTGGAAAGCGTTTAATCAAGGCCTTTTTTGAAAAGCGTTAATGTAGGGGCAAGGATAACGTGGGTCGGAAGGGCATTCAAGGCACGAGGCACACGGAGGGAGAAAGCGTTTCGTCGACAATCAAGTCGACTGTAACGCGTAGCCAGTTTGAGCTGATGGCCTCTCAGGTTGGTATTTTGGCTCGGCTGTAACAGATTGCGACATTGGTGAATTGAGTTCGTCAGTAGTAAGTAAACCATGATGAGCTCTTCTCACTGACGTCAATATTCACCACTGTACAACTTCAGGGACTGCAGTCTGCGTTGGTAGGAGAGATGAAACAATCTAACGAGTTCGGTCGCTTTACCTTGTGGAGCTTCAAGTGCATTGATGTCTCGCTTACGCCAGGCCTGGATCGCATATTCCACATGTGGCCTCATTTAGGCGTTCAGCATTTGCGCAAAGATTGATGGCTCAAAATTCCCGGAAGCCCAACGTAAGAGTCCAAGATTCTGACTCACTCATTTTGATGCCCTTTCAGCTGGTCTCGAGCAAAAAGATCGTCCTGCACGATCACCCCGAAGTCGTTTTCGTGGGAAGCACGTTACAACTGATGGTCCCCTAGTCGATCTTCATGGGTAAGCGGATGGTGTATGCTTGCGACTTTGCACTTGGTCACAGTGGACTGGAGCCTGTTATCGGATGACCATGCATAAGCCCTGTCGATATCGCTCTGCAATGCCATGTGATCATCCGATGTCCTGATATCACGCTAAATTTTGATATCATCTGCAAATAGTAAGAAATTCGACCGCACTACATTGGCAAGATCGTAAATGAATGTTAGGAATAAACATGGCCCCAGTACCGATCCTTGGGGCACCCCAAACTGGACGCAATTGGGTCGGAAATGGAGCTGCGGACTCTCACATTCAGCTGACGTTAAGCGAAGAAGTTGACGATCCAACCGTGTACAGTTTGTATTCTGTCAGCATTCTTGACGGCTAGTCTAACTAGACACGTGCACACAACCCCAGACACACACACAAAGCGTCTAATTCTCTGCTTCCCTATTGGTTCATCCTTCTCCTTGCGACACCTTAATGTACTCACCCAGTTAGACATTTATCAGATTACAGCAGTTCGTTTACGGGAGTGACCTTACTACTGCTCGTGCATTTGACCTTTCGTACACAACACTGGCGTCGCGGCTTACGAACCTACGCCATGGAATTACATCCTCCTAAAGTTTACTGTTCTGATCCGACCTTACGTCCTACTGAAAGTGCATGGGCCCAGTGAAAACCTCGTTTACAAACTATCTTGACCTACTACCTTCAGCTTCTAACTACACTGAAGGCCAAAAACTGAAGCTTCTCAGACACCTACTCGGTAATGAGGACAACGTCAATTTGTTGCTTTGGAGCTCCAGTCACAAGATACCTTAACGAAAGCACTAGAGGTGCTGGACAAGTCATGGGGACAGCGTACAAACCTCTTCATGGTTCGCCTCGAATTCGGCCGACTTACACAGGAACCATCGGAAACTCTAGACAGTTTCCTTGATCGCCTCATTCGCGGTGTACGACCCTGCGAATATCCAACCATACCGAAAAATAAAATCGAGTGCGTTATGCTAGTGCAGCAGTTGATTAGTGGAATCACCAGTAACCGAATTCGGGAATGTCTACTTTCCGAAGACGCTTCCACATTGACTTGGAATAAGACTGTGGAATTAGCTCGCCTCAAAACATGTACGGCCGAACAGTTGCGATGTTTCGCCTCCCACGCAAACATACAGGAGGTTGCCAAGATCCATCGCTCCCCAACCGAATTCCAATCCCCGCAGAAATGCTTCCGCTGCGGTAGCCTACAGCATAAAGCCTATTTTACCAAGTGCCCTGCCTCAGAAATGGATTGAAAAAAGTGCGGTAAGCGTAGATATTTTGCCCGTTGTTTTCATTCAGTACGCATTTCTCAGTTTCATTCTACAGATTCCATTCCTAGTCAGCAGTTACAGTCCTCTGAAAATGTATTTCCGTTGATAACACAGGTACTGTGTCTAGCTATCGTTCCAATTGTTCAGAGCCTAAACTCCCTATGCCTCACATTCGTACTGTTACAGTTATTGCACACGATAGAACAACACATGTTGACCTGGAACTTGATTCAGTCTCTCCTATCACTATAGTGCCGAGTAGTTTTTATAACATTCACCTACATGACATGCCTGTACATCCTTCAGCCTATCGATTTGACAGTTATACAAAGGTCCCGGTAGAAATACGGGGATTTGTGGTGATTGTATTGCAACTTGGGGCCGTGAAATCATCAGTTGCTGGGTACGTTACCCGCAGAAACAACCATCCCTTAATCGGACGCAACGCTATGGTTGCACTGGGAGTCACGCCGTCCCTATCTCGTATGCGTATCATGGCAATTAACCTATCAGACCTACAGATACAGCACCCGAAACTGTTTGAACAAACAATAGGGCGCGCTACCTCCTCCGTTCACCGCATATGTCTGAAGCAGGATGCTAAACCGGTAGCTATTGCTCATCCATGTCCAATTCCTTTGGCCAGAAGAGAGGCTGTTTCGTCAGCATTACGACAAATGATTGCAGATGATCTCATTGATTACTTATGAGTAGAAGGATTTGGCAAGTATTTTTGTTCGTCGCAATCAGCCTACAATTCAGATAACTCAACTATCTACCCGGAAAAGCACCAGACGGCCGTTTCGCCCTATTGGGGCTCGTCAGTGGTGCGCATCCTTCGGTCCTCCACGGAGGATCAAACCCATGACTGCTAATGGCTTGTGCCAACTAGCCCGCAGCTTATGCAACTGAGCCATGGAGGATGACAGCCGACCATCACGAATTGTTAGCTAACTGCGATATAGCCCGACCCATCCTCCACTGCTATGCAGGCACCTGCCATGCAGATGAGAGCGGATGGCCTTACGGCATCAGGACTTCCCGATTGAACCCATTAACTGTTCTGAATGGATCCACCCTATAGTTACGGTCCTCAAGAAGGACGGTACAGTAAGAATATGCAATGACCTGCAGGACCTAAATCGGCAAATCGTAGTAGAAAAGTTTGTGCTTCCAAGCGCGGATGGGCTATTAGTCAAACTAGCCGTCAAGTATGCTGACAGAATACACAACATATAGGGTCACTGATTGCATAGCTTCAAAGCTTGTGAAGGAGAATGCGGGGGTCCAAACAATCTAGCAATTTCCAGCAGTCCAGGTGGACAACATCGACTTCCACTCTGGCATCGGCTGACTCTGTCCAGCTTGCTCGGCCTAGCAACAAGTTTGTAGTGCAGGATCGATTTCGGCGGAATCCGTGTTGCTGTGACGCTAGGATGTTGTTGCTCTCAAGGTATCACATGAGCGCCAATGCAATTATACGTTCCACTATTTTGGATAAAACTGGGCGAAGAGTGATTGGACGGTATTTCGAGGGCTCGGAACGATTACCACTTTTGTAAATAGGACTGACTACTACATGTTGCTACTTTGTGTGAACCTGCATTTCGTCGAGACAACGTTGGAGGAACCGAGCTAATGGTTCGGCAAGGTTCGTGGCCTCTGTCTTCAATGCCTTCGGTTTGATGTCGTCTTTGCCAGATGACCTGTGCATGCGCAATGACATTAGCGTTTTCATCAAATTGGCTGCCGTGAACGATAGGTGGTTTAAAGCTGGTGGCGATGGAGGCTGTGTCAAAAGCGAATGAAATGCTGATTCACTCCGGAATGTATGGATGAAGTGTTGGCGAAGCACGTTGGCTGCATATTATGCGGTTTGCGCAAGACCATCTGTTGCGCGTGAAACCGGGATCCCGTGCTGCACTCTGCGGAGTTTGTTGACGTGTTTATACAGCAATTTTGGCTTTGTATTGAATTCACAGGTCGACGCCGAGGTGGAAAAATCTGTTGCAGGAAG